AGTAGTAGGACTGGAGTTCACTCAGAACATTTTAACACAGTCTGTTTCCTCAAGCTCCATGTATCTGTACATCAGGAGGCTCCTGCATTTCCACAGGGTGCTCCTTATGCAGGACATGAACTTGTCAAAACAGGTTACTGGGGACCCCTGTTATTTAGTCAGGTGTCTGTACAGCACCGCCTCATTTGGCATCAGCTTGATTCCTGTCAACTCTTCTCGGAGCCAGTGTACTTTTTTCCATAGCCCCTTGGTGTATGGGAAGAGCCATAGGAGATGGTCAATGGTCTCTGTTGCACCTTGGCAGATTTCTCTGGGGCAGCTGGGTCAAGTCCCTTGCCGCTCCAAGTGTCTCCATGTCCTCATTGGGAATGAGCTGTGAGCTATTAGCCAGTTTGAGCCTCTGTGGTTGTTTCATGGGTCCTTGTGGAAGATCTGGTCCCAGTCATCATCGGGGAGCAGCTCCATGGTCAATAGCCTATCTCTGTCTCTGGCTACCTTCTGTATCTTCCCATGGGTTTTGCCTGCCAAGTGACAGAATAAAGGTGGCAGCTCTGACACTCACCTGCTCTGGTCCCCCTCCTTCTCCAGCCTGGACTGCTCACGGCCCCTGCTTCCCACTCCAGCAAGTGCTTCAGGCTATAGGGAAGGGGGAGTTGGGTCTTAAGACTATTTCCTCTTCCTTCCATAGGCATGGGGGGCATATGCCCCCTCCATTTGTGCATGAGGTGGGCTGCCTACTGCAGGCTCAGGGTTCCCCGCCCTGCTGCCCTTCCCCAGGGAGCCCTGTGCCACTCTCAGACCCTGCCCACCTGGCAGCAGCAGGGGCAGAAGCAGCATGGAGTTGTGCCCCGATTATGGCCTGGGAGAAAGGCAGCAGAGCGAGGGGCCCACATCCACCCCTGCCTTACTCAGCTCTGTTCTGGCTGTACCACTGGCAGGGTTGGGAAGGGGGAGAGCAGTCATTTAATATGCATTTTAATAAGGTGGTCACTCTGAGTGTGACCTGAAAAAGGATCTACAGTGAGGACAAGACAGCACCTGACAGCACTAGGGTCCAAGAGAATCAAAAGCATGAGCTGCTCTTTTCCCTCCGCCAGGGCTGATGAAGGAGAGATTTGGGACCCACGTCACATCTTACATGACTTTCATGCCCATGGTGCAGGACAAGGGGTTGGTGATCTGGTGCTGCTTCCTCCATGATGTCAAACAGATCAGAAAGGAGCAAGTGTCCTTGGAGATCCGGGTGTGGGGTGAGTGCTCAGCGCCCCTGCTATCATCTCAGGGTGTGGCCAGTGCCTGCTGCTGCAGCGGGGGATGCAGATAGGCTAGATCTGCTGAAAGTAGTGGGGGGACCCACGAGGCTGCCACAGGTCTGACTCCTTGCACTCTGTCATCTGGATGGGCTGCAATGATCCTTTCCAGAGAGCTCTGGCTCACGCTAGAAGCTGTGTGAGGGGATACAAACTGGGGAGCTGGAGCATGCTGGGCCCATTTGCCACTTGCAGCCTGCTGAAGTGCACTGAGCTGGCTGGGGCGAATCCTTGGGAGTAGACAGGGACCCTGGCATGGATGACTGCAGCAGAGACACCTGGAGCCCCGAGCAGAGGCCCTGCCCAGGGCAGCAAGAAGCTGAAACCTGCCAGACAAGGAGGGGGAGCCAGCTGCAGAGTGTGGTCCCTGCCTGCCACTGCCACAAGCTGGGAACCAGCCCTGGCAGGTGAGAGGGAAGTGTGGGGGGTGTTGGCGTTTCTTCTCCCCCATCTGACTCTCAGTGCAGCACTCCTCCTCAGCTGCAGGCAGCTGTACTAGCACCAAGGAACAAAGCTCTGGTCTCCCCCAGGGGACAAATCTCCCTGAACACGATGAAACATGAAGCCTGTGGAGCAGATCAGGGGCAGTATCCAGCTCTGTGGCCAGGCAATGCTGCCCCCTGCTCCAGAGGGAACAGGGCATGGAGGTGTCCTGCTGAGGGAACTGTTTGCAAGCCCTGTGTCCAGCAAAGCCTGCCCACGCTGAGCCCCTGAAGTGATCCTCACTAGAGCTTCCTCTCCTCTCCCCTCTAAAATGGACAGTTGGATCCATCCTGTGCAGCCTCCTTTGTCCCGGGGGCTGAGTCACATCCTGGCAGGGCTGCATCCTCCCTGTTCCTGTGTCCAGCCCCTGGGCACTCTCCAGCACATTCCTCATGGCCAGTGGCTCTTGGCTGGTGGCTGTGTGCTGTGGCTCATCCCTCTGGTGGGCCTGGCATCATCCCCTGGCAGTGCCCACCTGCAACAGCTTCAGCCATGTGCATTGCATGAGAAAGATTCACAGGAGGGAGGAGGGCTGCGTGTGTGTGTGCAACAGCCTTGGACTTGGATTGGCCAGGCATGTCACAAGGATATCAGTGTTCTCACAGGGCCAAGCAGCGTGTGACCTAGCCTCCACCTCCATCTACTGCACTGAGGCCAGCTGCCCTGGGGACCATTGGAAAGGGCTGCCACAGGGGTGGCCTGAGGAGGTGCATGCAGCACTGGGGAGCTGCCCTCCCCTGCACCCTCTGGAAGAGCCACCTGAGGCTCTGTCCCACTCCCCGCCCTGGACCCAGGGCCCCATGCATTGCTGTGGCTAGATAGCACCCCCATCCCCAGTCCCTGCCTCACCCCTTCTTTCATGATAGGAGCCTCAATCTGTCCCCCCCACCATGCCCCATCTGTT